CCCTCCCCCTGCTCCCTGCCCTCCCTCTGCATTCTGTCCTCCCCCTGCTCTAAGCCCAGCAGACTCAGCCTTGCCTGGGTGGTGCACAGGTGTCTGTCTTCCTTCTCTGTCTCAGCTTAACTCTGTGCTCCTGGAGACCCCTCTCCTGTCCCCTACTGCAGCTCCCCGACTTCTGGCCTCCTGTCCCCTGCTGCAGCTCCCCGACCTCTGGCCTCCTGTCCCCTGCTGCAGCTCCCCGATCTCTGGCCTCCTGTCCCCTGCTGGCCCTCCTTTCCGGGGCCTCTCCAGGGACTTCTCTCCCTGCTTATGTCCAGGAGCTCTGCCCTCTCATGGCTTTGACCACTCCGCTACCCCATCTTTATGCTGATGACCGTAATTTTTTTTAAAAATATATTTTATTGATTTTTTACAGAGAGGAAGGGAGAGAGATAGAGAGTTAGAAACATCGATGAGAAAGAAACACCGATCAGCCGCCTCCTGCACATCTCCCACTGGGGATGTGCCCGCAACCCAGGTACATGCCCTTGACTGGATTCGAACCTGGGACCTTTCAGTCCGCAGGCTGATGCTCTATCCACTGAGCCAAACCGGTTTCGGCATGACCGTAATTTTTACATTACTACTTTAGACCTCTTTTTTAAGTAAATGTTGTATTGAATTATAATATACATACCGAAAAGTGCCCAAATCCTAAGTGTGTAACTCAATAAATTTTCCCAAAACAAATCAGGTTCCACCTTTCAGATAGGAAGTAGAGCCAGGACCCTAGGAGACCCCTCAAGCACCCTTCCAGCCCTCTCCCCCACTGAAGAAACACCCCCCAGTCCTGCCTTGTATCATGCCAGAGTCATTCTGTCTGTCTCGGAACCTTCTAGCAGTGGGTCCCCCCAGGGTGTTCCTGTGGCTGGTGTCTCGCTCAGCATTGAGTCTGTGAGCTCACCCTTGACTCCTCATTCTGTAGCTGCTGGGCACTGGTTTCTGGTTCGGGACTGTGCAGGCAGTGCTGCCTGTCGGTCCACGGGAGTGCAGTGGCTGCGTCAGTGGCCGTGCTCAGCTTCTGTGGATGCTGCCAGTTTCCAAAGCGGAGGCACCAGCCTGCACTCGCGGGGGTAGATGAGAACTTGATAAAACAAGCTCCAACCCCTAGTGTTATCAGTCTGCGGGGGGGGGTTGGTTTTAAATTGTTACTGATTTTAGAGAGTGAGGAAGGGGGAGAGAGAAAGAGAAAAACGTGGATGTGAGAGCTAAACATTGATCCACTGTCTCCTGCACACGCCTTAACCGGGGATCGAACCACAACCCGGGTATATGCTCTGACCAGGAATTGAACTAGCCACCCTCCGTGCACAGGGCAGCACCCAACCAACTGAGCCATATGGGCCGAGGCTAGCAGCCTTTTTGTTTTCATTTTAGCCACTCTGATGGGTGAGTAATGGTATCTCCTTATAATTATTTTCTTTTATTTTTTTATTCAACTTCATTGAGGCATAATTTACAATAAAATGCATCCATTTTAAGTGAGTTTTGACAACTACCACCACCACAGACAAGCTATGGAGCAGCT